ATGTTGCTTTGCCAGATACAAAGACCTGACAATTTAGTTTCAAAATGAACGAATGAGGAAATCAGTGAGGTGATTTTTCTTATTCTTTATATTTGTCAGAAATAGAAATGATCAGAAGATTGCAGATTGAATGTCGTGCACTTGAAAGCTAATAAAAAAGAAAGAGGAGAGAAGAAGATGGAAGTGATAACCTTAGAGCGGACACGAACAGCACCATGACTGAACTGCAGCTCCCAAGAAAATGACATTTATTGGTGATATTTCATGTTATCATCAAGCTGGAGTTAGTCAGATAGAATATAGACACCTATAAATGTCTGTGCCAGTTTTTTAAAAGAACACTTTTTCAGCCAATCTTCTAAAACAAAAGGTTTTTCATCTTGCTCAGATGATAAGAGATTCACTATTTCAGAAAGAACTTGGAGGCAGATATAACTCAATTACCTTGTCTCAATTCCAACAATACTATGAAGTGGGCTATGCACAATTTAGATGTACAATGTTAATTTAGTTACTGATTACTATCCAATCCCTTTCAAACAGAGAGGCATGTGCATTGTATTGTGGGAAAACATGGTGTCCCACAATGCAATGTGGAAAGCCACACCAGGCAGACAACGTGTGGTTGTGATACACTCTCCTCGTTGCAACATATATTCAGTTCACCCCGGTGACGCCTGTCAGTGCTCAGCTCTCTCCTTTGCCGTATACCTGCTGCTGCACCAGTCACCTAAAGCTGCGCTCCAACTGCTGCTCTTCATATATTTTTCATAGGTTTCTGGGTTCATACATTTCTGAAACCAGAAATGTTCCCTACCCAAGTTTTAATATGAGGTATGTGAACTACAGATAAATGTAACTCTAACTTGTGGTCGTATCTAAACCAAAGAGACGATGGAGAACGTGGTTGTGTTTAAAGATGTTGAGTTTATATCTTCGCAGGTGATATACAAATGAGTTTTCCTTGCCTTTCCAACCTGTGTAATGAGATTATTCTGAGACCATTATAAATATGATTTTAAATTCTGTCATGTTCTAGGTTTGCCCAGAAACTTGGTAGTGATAAAAAAAATATGCTAAAATAAAGTTGTCATTCTGGAATATAAATATATTCATACATATATAGGCTTACACTTACTACACATGCATAGTATAAGAACATGTAAAACTAAAGTCGTAAAAAAATGAAGTTCAAGTTTTACATATTCTAAAGCACAATTATACAAAAGCAATTCAAATAGCTTAAAACTGCAGCAAGTTAGTAATTCAAATTAACTTTAAATACTAATGTCTGCATGCCCACATGTTTACAATGACAACACTAATGTGCCAATAATATAGTATTATGTTTACCATTGAAGAACTGTTAATAAGCACTTGGCACAGAGTATTTAACAAGTTGTCAAACATTAAATTAAAAGTTCAAAATGTGCAGGGTGTGGTGATTATTGAGACAAAATATAAGCAATGTAAAATGTCTGTACAGAACTGTGCATTTAACATTAGGACTGTAAATTATTAATCTATTAATGTGCAAACATGTTTGGAACTTGTGATTGCAGATGGCTGAAATATTATACAGATTCATTAAGAATCTTTAACTGATCATCACAGCTCTATTTTCATACTTCTATCATATTGATCAATGCCTTCTGGGAGAAAAATCTGATTTCAGATGTGTTGATTTGTAGTTGACATCACACTGTGAGACACTTTCCCACTATTGACACAACTCTCTGTAACAAACACCACAGCAGTCATCAATAGCCCTTGTGAGTGAATCTAGCACTGACAGAGCTCTTCTGTTCTGAATGCTCTCCCTCTGCACAGACACTGAGGAAGCAGAGCAGCGCCAGAGCACCTGGGCCCTCGGAGGAGAATCAGGGCTTGTGGGGAAGCTGGCAGAGAAACGCGGAGGAGACATGGTGGGTAATTGGAGCGAAGCAATATCCGCCATCTTGGCCCGTTACCTAAATAACAGCTTTGATTGAGGTGAATAGGCCCATAAAGGGTTGTGGTGGCGCTGATAAGCTCCAGTGTAGCTTGGCTGCTGTTGCGAGGCTCTTGGCATCCACGAGGACACTTGGCTTCCTGCAGCTTAGACCTGGATCAGTGGGACAGGCACCTGGGATTCCAGATGTCTCGGGGTGGAATCTACAGTGGCATCTCTCAACTGGCATTAGCGCCCATGGTGACATTCATCCTTCAGTCTGGCATGTCGGAACCGCCAGCGTCGTGCCAGCTTCCTATCTACCCACACATATCTGCGTGAGTGAGCGCTTCTGTCTGAAACCGAAGAAAGAGCAGAGGTTGTGCAGGAAACGGAGGAAACTGGACCATCGTGCTAACTGGAAACTTGGAAGGCTTTACCAGGAACAGATGCTAATGAAAGTGTGGGATTCATGGCGGAGAAGGAAGAAACAGAATTTTCAGCAAAGATGTTGGTGAATTGAAAAATATTTTTCTTAAAGTGCTGCAGCCGGGGCGTAGTGGAGATTAGAGGTGCTTTGAAGAATCGCTCACATCTCTTTACTTTGAATACATAGTAAAGTTAATCTGGACGGAAGCTGCATTAAGGAATGTTTGCTTCAAAACATTAAAGCTGAGAAAATATACTTAAGGGATGCTTAAACACATTGGGGGATAGTTAAAGAATCTTCTGTCTGAGTGGGTCTATTTGCAAAGTAGTAAATCCACAGCAGTGCTATACTGTGAAAAACAAAGCGTCTGTGCATGTACGGATAAACGTGAACTAAGTGTTACCCCTCCCCCTCCATCCACTGAATGACAGGCGTCGGTAATCACTGTTATTCTCCGACCGCAAAAAACACAACATTTCGTGACAGCTCATAAATGGTTGAGTAGTCTTCCGTCTTCCCCGGGGTTGTTCAGTCAACATCTACTTCCATCACTTCTCCTAGCGCATGCAAACTTAAAGCTACATCCCACATTCGTCACTGGGTTCTCTCCCTCAAAGCATTTTTCAGAGTGTTACTGTGCTGACTGCATGGGGGTCTGACTCCCAGACGCAGCTATAACGTCTTCTGGTTCTCTCCGCAGTAATAAATGACTTAACAGCTCTGGCAGGATTATCCACTGGCACTGAACACCACCAGCAGCAGCTGCGGTGCCCTCTCGTAGTCTGGGGAGGTCATTTTGAGGCATCCGTGTACTGATTTACCGCTCAGGGAGGCGCTGAAAGGCCGGTAATCAAGCACAGTGATAAGTGTGAATGAAAGGAAATAAGTCCCAAGAGGAAAAAAGGATGCGTTTAATGGGATGTTCATGCTCTGTTACCTGTCTGACAGGAACCATTTCACTCACTCACCTTGTTTGTCACTCAGAGGCCTCCGTACACAGGCTGCTAATTAACACAGCTCCTGATGCTCCAACGGTGACAAGCAGAGAAACTAGGGGGGAAGAAAGAGGCTTTTTTTTTGTAAATGCATTCTGTATTTATCAAACTAATATTTAGAAAATGACCATGCAACCTAAACTACAGTGTTTCAGATGTTTTACCAGCATCATCATATTCATTCATAATTCAGTTTAATGTCTGTGCCATTCATGGATTGCCAGAAAATGTATACTGCACAGCTCAGAGAGTTAGACATGAGTTAGAAGTGCAATATCTCAATATATTCTCTTAAATATCTTGGACACAGGATCTTACTTTGTCATGTTTTCTTGGATTCACTCGATTGGAGAAGAGATTGGCAGCGAGACCTCCAGCCCACACTAAACACACCAGACACTGATTTATCAGAACAGTAAGAAAAACATAGATTTGCTAAATAGAATATTCCATGTAGTTTCTCTGTGCACATTTACTTAACGAAAAAGATCTTTTTAAAGCGAAACCATTTCAAAACTTAAATACACCATTAAATAAATTAAAACCATAAGAATTAAGTGAAATAATTGAAATGTCCGCACACTGAAATTAAATGGCAATTTTATTTATACAGCACATTTCATTCAAAGAAACTGCTTCACATTAAGGGAATACTATAAATAGATATAAATACAGATGTAAAGGTGTATACTGTAATAAAAAATACAAGATTATACAATAAACTATACAACAAATGAATCACACATGCATAAACACATTTTAATATTAATTAAATTAGATATCCTCACGTGAAGTAAGATCTCCGTAAATAAAAAGTGTAAATAAAATATAAATCTCAGTGCAATTCCACTTGATTGTTCCTCCTTACTGTCTTTATAACCCATTTTACATAAAAACATAAAACTTGTAAGCTTAATTGAGCCACCGTAGCAGCTACAACTATGTATCTTAGCTTAATTTATAGGAGCGACTGAACAGCTGATCAACAAGCTAACATGCTAACAGCTGTCTCACCAGGATAACCCTCGACCTTCAGAAGAACTCACAGACTCTCATCCTCCTCGGGCTCGTCGGTAGGTCAGTGGTCGGTGATTCTTCCCTCTGGAGACACTGGGGTCACTTCGACTCTTAACTTTGATCATGATTCAGTTTGTCTCAGACCAAACTTCAGTTCTCTGCTCGTCTTCATCACGACCTGCACCTGCGACAGACTGCAGATGATGCATTTAAGGGACTTTAGGAAGCTGCGTAACTGCCATGAACTTCAGGTGATGCATTTAAGGAACGCCAGTAACTGGGTGAGGAACCGATTTGGCTCTTCCCCGAAAATCGCAGGGGCGTTCCCCACTGGAGGTCGCTCTGCTGATTATCTGCCCAAATAATCCTGAAGTGTGTGTGTGTGTGTGTGTTTGTGTGTGTGTGTGTGTGTGTATGTGTGTGTGGGGGGGTTATGAAATAATGTTATTCTACTGACTGAGTCACAGCCTCTTGATCTTGGATAATTGGCACTGACAGAAACCCACAATAGCCAATGAGAGCGAGCTGACAGAGACTAATGAAGAAGAAGAAGATATCACAAGTTTCTTCGAGATTCCAAGTCTCTGGAACCACCACTGTGAAATGTGTGGTCTTACATTGTGTGTGTGTGTGTGTTCTGACGATTATAATATTAAAAATCTGTTGAATATGTCTGTGTTCTTCTTCGTTTTCTAAAAATCGATCAAGAGCTGAAAATCCATGTGCACCAGGCCTTAACTACTGAAAATATCCTGGGTTACAGCATTATTAGAATGATTAGATGATGATTCTTTTTATTTTTTACTGTAAAAATTGATTTTGCTCTGTTGAAAAAATATATTAGGCATGATCTTTAAATCGCAAGCAGTGATTAGTATGTTATATCTATAATAATATATATATATATATATATATTTATATATAGGTATATGAAATGTTATGGGTACACCCAGATTTGTCATCTGTTCGTGAGGGGGCCAATGTTTGTAATTTACTACATTTCACAACCTTTCATTCAGTGGATGCTGAGACCTCAATACACTAATGTGATTCTCATCGCGGAGAAAAAGTTGTACGATCCTGCAGATTGTTTCATCTCGTCCTGTGAGATCACATCTCATGACACTTTGACGTCTTTGTACACAGAACAAACAAGCACTTACGCAGTCCACGTCTTTGAGGCCTCACTCTTGTGACCTTTAGCTGTGACCTTTAACAGTCCCTAAAGGCCACTTTTGGAAAGTAATTTATTGTCCTCAGTCCTGCTGTCAAATCAGAATGTCACATGTGTCTGACCGAGCTGCGGAGCTCATGTTGAATTCACAGAGAGATGAAAGTGCTGACGAGATCCACTCTGCTGATAGTAGATGGAAATATGCTGTATGAATATTATATATGCCTCTGGTAATGATTCATCAATCAACATTTGGAAGGATCATTATAGAGCAAAGAGCTGTTTTATATGTCATACATGTAGTTTGAAAATGCATTTTAAGTAGTTTCCCAACCAGACTATATACCCGCTGTCTCTAGCCGCTGCACAAAACTGTGTGTGCATGCTGCTGTGTTGCTTTCCAAAATAAAGTCAAGGTAAAGAGAGATTGATTTTGCGGAGTCGGACATAGCTCGGGCTGTGCATCGAGCTGGATCAGCAGCCCCCTCCTGCCACCCCCGGCCTCAACTGACCAAACAGCGGGGGTGATTAATAACTCCCCCCTCTGTTGCCCTGTGCACACATATGGGACGTCAGGTTGAAGGTTGATGGAGAACAGCGCGGCGTGCAGTGCTACCCCCCGTCATACAGATTAGAGATTGGACATCAGACGGCACCTTTACCCTGCTGCCTCATGCGATTTGTATCCTTCAGTTATCCTTCCACTGCCGCTGATGCTATTTGTCACTGCAGGGCCCCGCTGAAGACTCCTTTAGAAATGGGCGGAGACTGGAGAGGGTATTTTACTCTGCTTCTGAGTGATTTATGAAGTGCTGCTGTGTGTGTGTGTGTTTTACAGTGCTGAGCTAGAGAAATATCAAAGTCTCCAAAGTTGTCAGAATAAACCACACTGGACAGAAGTGTCTCATACTTATAACAAAGTGTGTTACCTCACTGTCTGCTTTCATCCACTCAACCTGAAGCCATCTTTGGGACTTTGAGAGGAGCCAGAGAGAAAATAAAAGTCTACAACCTCAAATACATGAAAATCTGTGCAACTCAAACTCTGACAAGTCGTTTGTGTACGAAGCAGTTTTTAATTTATGCACAGAAACACAAGCAAACATGTAAAAAGAGTTAGTTACAACTGAACCATTGAATAACCTAATATGTGGTTATACACTCTGAACGGAAATATCTCAACTTGATGAATGGATTTCATCTTCTAGTATATGGGTAGCACTCCGGTGGGGGTTCAGGAAAATAATGTTTGCTATGTTTCACCTGTACAGTTAATGTTGTTAACATCCTGCTCTCACAAATACATATTGAACTCAGAAGCCAAAAGAATTGCGAACACTATCAAAATTCAAAAACATTTCTTCCTTTTTTTTTTTTACAAAAAATATAAAAAGTACGGTGACAGAGACTGAACATGGTGCAGGTTGACATGAAAACCCGCGATTACTTGCCAGAATTCACATAAACCTTTTTTTCTTTCCAAAAGAAAAAATCTTTAAACACTTGAGACATTGAATAAGAAAAACTAAAGACATAGGATTTGAACTTAACCTCCTGTACAAAAAACATGTCTTTAAAAGCAAAGATAAGAACAACATAAAAGCTTTTACACAGATTTCGCTAACTGCTAGACCCTGAAAGAAAATAAAAGAAAACAAAGACAAAGACAAACTTGACCAAAAAATTTAAATATCTACATCCTGATTCAGGGACCGGGATGGATATTGATCCGTCTGCAGCAGTAAATGGTCGACGCCACCAGACATCACCGCAGCCTTTGTTTTTCCATGACTTCCGATACCGGCCCTGAACCTAAGACCAGCAAAGAGTCCCCCAACAACCCTGGAATGAGCTCAATCATGCAAAATAAAACAGAACAGCAGAGAAAAACACGTCAGGATGAAATCATGCAAAGCCAGTTTTGTGGTTATTTCCCTCATTACAAATACAGGTCAGTTGTCGAGGCGTCACAGGAAAGTTAAAAGGGAATCACGTTTCCCACAGTCACTTTTGAGTTTTTATTTTTCCCTTCTTGTCCATGTTGGGAAATCCAGCTGTCCGTTTCCCAGCGAGAGGCAAGACGAGATTTGCCCCCCCTCGACGAAAAAAAAAGAAGTTTCCAATTGTACCCCAAGGCACCTGAGAGAAGGTGGGTTTCCCTCTGTTGGCAACGTGTGTCTGTGTTTTCATTACATACCAGCTGCCATAGAGTCTCAGAGTGGGTCTATCCCACGCATGGTTTCACGAATCTCAATACAAAGCACAGAGAAAAGAATACAGTCAAAATGGATGATCAGGTTGGTGTTCCCCAGTGCGGAGTGTGAACTGCCGAATCGAAAGTTAATAGTCATCGTAGGTGTTGAGGTCGGCGAAGTATGCATTGGTATAGGTCTTCCCGGCAAGCTGTGGGTTGAAGTACTTATTTCTTTCCTCCAGGATCAGATTGTTTTTGTTGAGGGCCTGTGGATAGAAAAAAGTAGAAGAGGAGGGAGAGAAGATAAGTCAGCGTCGGTTTGTTTGTGACATGTGGATGAAGTGATTATTCAGCCCAGATGCCAAGGTAAAAGCAAATCCATCTACCCCCCACCCCCCAAAAAGGGGAAAAACAGGTGCAACACAAATCAATGGGAGGCCACTCAGTGAATGAAACATACATTTCACAGAGCAAGGTCAAAGCATTTGTAAACAGGCTGGAAACAAATGATAAGCCACCACAGGGGCGAAATTATTTTGATGCAAGTCTGTATGTCCACCTCTGTCATCTCTGATACGTGGCATCAGCAGTTTTTATGGCCCCCGGATTGTTGGACCTCTGGGACAAATCTGAGCCGCAAAAATCGATCAGAGCAGAGTCGCTTTTCTGTTAAACAATAAGGAAGAGCCACGGGGGCGTCTTCTCTGTCCCCGTGTGCCATGGTAAACATGGAATGAGCTTCTGATGTGCTGCTCAATACAACATCAGCAATTTGGCAAATGGATGTGTTCATATCCAGTCTGCTGTATACAGTGTGTGTGTGTGTGTGTGTGTGTGTGTGTGTGTGTGCTGGATGTCCCTCGGGGCAGCGTAATTGAACACTTGATGATGCTGCATTTGCGGTTGATGGATGTTTCCGACTGACACTGATAGGGAGCGAGTGTGCTCGACAAAAAAAACAACAACTCATATTCGCTCCTTTCCCGTTATGTGATTTGCACACAAAGGGAATGTAATCAATGCTCCCACGGCCCCGGAGACGGTTGTGTGTCTCCGCAGGTGGCCCCCATGGCTGCTTTTAAACAGCTGTGCTACAATATTTGTTTCCATCATCTACTTTGTCTCCCTGTCTTAAAAACCTCTTTAACTGGCTGAAGAATGATTCAATTTGAGTTTTTCGGAGGTGTAAACAAAATTTGCTTGAACTGCGAAGTAGCATAAGTGATTGAGGGGTAACAGAGGAACTTAAACAAAGAGAATTATAATGAATTTACTCTCTCAACCCATTAAAGGAAAAAAATATGTAATTTTCTTTCTTAATTCAAAAGCACGGTCTTTCAGTTTGAGAACAGGGCTCTCACGTGAGCATTATGATGGGGGGGGGGTGGAATTTGTTGCACAAAAAACCGGAGCGTGGAAGAGAAAATTCGAGAGCAGATTTGATGTGATCGCAAGAAGAGCCTTTTGTTATATCAATAAGTCCTGCTCTCAAACTGGAAGACACACTCTTGAATAAAGGTAGGACAAAAAAGACACAGGACAATACAGGACAAAACAAGAAAGACAAAACTATAAAAGCATGCAAATGGAGAAACTTGTGAAAGAGAAAAATAAAAGAGGGATACACTGCCTTCTCACAAGCCAGGGCAGGGAAGTGAAGGGATGAAGGGATCTGAGCAGAGAAAGAGAAAGTAGAGTACTGAACGCCAACCTGCCACACACAGGAAGTGCCACAGGAAGTGGAATGGCAGGACACGGTGAGGGAAGAGGAAGTAGTGGCGTTTGGGATCAAAGAGTTGTTGTGTAGGGGGGGAGGTCAAGAGGCGGGATGTTGAAGAGAGGTTCAGAGGTTAGTAGAAAATCTCCAGGCCGCGCATGGACACCCCCATGTTAGCAGAGAGAGGCTGGTGCATGGCGGGGTCGTCCAAGGGCAAGAGTACCGACACGTCTGGCTGCAAGGGGGGAGAGGAACGGGCAAAAGGTCATCCTCAAAGAAACCCTCAACCATTTTCTGTCTCACAGGTAGTCTGGAAACGTAAAGACGTGCACGTAAAACTGCAGCTACATGGTGACATACTGGAAAACTCCAGGGAATACTCCAGTTAAAGCTAAATAATAATAACAATGAATAATGTGACATCAGGATTTCAGCCACAAAGTGTAACATATGGTGTCAGGCGTTCATCACTCCTTCCATAAACACTCAACACAGTCATAACGTGCCTCTGCAAACTCAATTCACTGCCACGTCTGAAGCGCTCGTGCTCAGTGAATGACGCTCGGAGGCAAAATGCAGCATCCATTTGTCATGCAGCTTCTTTTTGTGTTTCCACTTGCACTGTCTACATTCATATCTGCTGCTATTTACAACTGAACTAACTGAATTATGCTTTATGCTTCCGACTCTAATTGCGTGAAGGATGAACGCTCCCCACACCTTTAATCTGCAATTAAATTACATTTAGAGACGATCTGTTCTCACTCTGTAGTTTTACATAACACGTCTATATCTATGAAGAAGTTTATAATGAGCAGGTGTCTAAAGTTAAATATTTTCACAGAAACCTGGAAGTGATGCGGAAGGTGGAAGATTCAGAAACATTTAAAAATGTTTGTCACTGCAGTTGTGTGCCTCCGCCAACCAGTGTTGTTTCAGCCCCTCCATGTGGTCCCGAAATCTGAGTCCTGAAATCCAATCAGTTAATCTTTGAGTCCAGGTCACAACTAGTTAAATGTCTGAATAAATTCCCTGAACTTAAGACATCATGTTCAAGAGGCTAAAAACATGATTTGTGACCTTTGACCACCTAATCAGAACTGATTAGGTGAAGTTTATTTAATATAAAGTGGTCACAAGGTACAGTGACCTTGACCTTTGAGCACCAATTTCTTATCAGGTCACCCCTGAGTCCAAGTTATATTTGGTTATTATCAAATGTGATGAAATAATGTCATATTATGTTCACAAGAGAATGAAGTCACCTTGACCAAAATCAAATCAGTTCCTGTAAGACATACAAAAAGTAAAATCCTGGGCTATTTCTAGGCCAACATTTGAATTTATGCAAATTTGGGGAACTGACAAACTGAACTTCTTTTTACAAAAGGTCTGATCACGTTACATTGTATCTCTCAGCAGGATGTGCAACATCATCACCATGTGCATCAACTAATCAGAGGCTTGTTCATGTAACTCAACTCAAATGACATCAGAACTTCTTATTCGCAGAATTACATCTTGGCTAAAATAAAGGTTTCTCAGGGGGCAGTGAGTGAAACTCTAATACTTTACAGAATGTGGATCAGTTCTATCCGAAGCACGATGAGGCATTTCACAGTGGATGAAAGTTCTCTTTACTGGTGAATCCAGGTTAGAGATTTATGGTGCTAACAGAAGGGTGTGTGTGAGGTGACGAGCAGATTGATGGTGAGAATATTCAAGTCTGGGTGTGTTACATTCTTCAGAGACATGCTAAACCCTCTGGTTCGCACAAAAATAGCCCCAAAGACACTTCACAACTTTATAAGAACTGCATGAAGACAAGAAAAGACGAATGAGTCCTGACTGTCATAGGTTCTCCTCCACAGTCACCTGACCTTAATTAACTGTGACGTCACAGAGGCTCGTTGTCAAATCCTGCAGGCTTAACGTCAGGTTCTGCACAAATGTCTACGCCAGCTGGAGTGCATGCTGTCATTACAAACCAACGGGAGACATATCAAATGAGAAGATTTTCAAATATTCATGTGCATTTTTCTTAGATTTGACTTTTCACTTTTCAAGTTGTCCAATATCTTTATAACAGACATGTTAAAACTAACCAGCCTAAAAAAAACTTTTTTTCTCTGCAGCACAATAAAGCTGAGTGTGAGTTTTGCTCTGAAACTTGGAAGACGACCAGCTGACTATGTGCTAAAATTCTCCCCAGAGCAAAAGTGTAAGGAGCAGACTTAACAGTGTGTTTATTTTCTCAGTGTGTCTAGTTTCTCTCTGGACAAAATCACATTTTATTTTTACATATTTCATATTTTAACTCTTTAACATGTTTAAATGTTTGCATAGAAATGTATCCTTTTTACTTCTTTTATGTTTTTTAATCCCTTTCCCTTTTAACTCTGCTTTTTAAAATCTCTTTTACTTCGCTCCTTTTAACAATTGTTTTGAACTGAGCTTTTTGACTTTGAATTGATTTCTTTTACCTTCATCTCTGTGTGTTGTTTTAAAGTCTCTGTACAGCACCTGGGATCTACCTCTGTGCATGAAACATTTAAAACAAAACTGCTTTGCCTAAAGTATGTAAGAGTACAAGAACTACCTTAGAAACAGAGCAGTACTTCCAAGGCAAAGAATTATCCTTATAACACATTGTGCAAACCACATCACCTTCATACTGTGACATCCCCTGTGTAGTACTACACAAGTTTGATGGGATCATTACAGGTACACTGTGCCTCCAGCAAAAATGTTGCTCGGGATACAAAAAAATAAAAATGTTATTCAACCAAAAATATCAAACGACAACACTTCATTAGCGGATTTACATAATTTCATGAAGTTGAATGAAAATCTTTCAAATACTTCTTTAGTTCTGGACGTATGAACTGATATTCTGATCACTGTATTCCTCTGTTTTATGTGCCAGTGGGATAAAAATTGACATGGAGGTTAAAGTGGTTGGAGCAGTGTTTAATACAGAGCACTGGGAATCCTTATAAAAAGCCCAGCTGGAGCAGTGGACAAGTGCTAATCAGCTGCTCAGTCTGGTACTAAAGCTGCGATGTATCAGTAGATAAGAGGCTGTTTGCACTGTGAGTGTAGCTGGATCGCTATCGCTGGCTCTGGTGCATCCAACTGTTTGCACTCTGGGATTCAACAATAGCACAAAAACCCCATCTACACAGGGAAATATGCAGATGTGGAGCCATTTTGCTGATTGCCTGCCCACATGCCGAGGAGTAATAGCATTAGCCTGTTATGAGTAAGCAGTGTATGACCACTGACACACAACAAAGTCACACACTGGGACACACAGCAGAAGGAGCACACGGAGAGAGAGGATGTATGCACATCTGTTACACGGCTGGAGAGTGTCAGTGCATGACAGGAGGTGGCATGACAGTGAGAGTCATGCAGTAAGAAGTGTATTTAATCACAACTGACACCGGAGGAAGAGGCACAACGCTGCTCACTGACTCGTGTGTGTGTGAGAGACATCAATTGATTAAGGTCACAGAGTGAAGACATGTTAGAAACTGCTGCTTTGCATCTGCGCATCTCGACTGCGACCTTGCCCACAGACCTTGATGGCTTCCACGGAGTCGTATTTGTCCAGCTTGTTGATGTGGTTGGTGATGCTGGTGTTGAGCGGCGCGGCCGAGATGGGGTGGATGACGGTGGCGTCGTGTGACTGCTGCTGGTAGCGCTGGCAGTACGAGTAGACGAGCAGCGTGACCAGGCAGCCGAGGACGGAGCTGCTGAGCCCCACGGCGATCATGTGGAAGAGGTTGAAATCTGCGAGAGGAGAGAAAGAGGGATGAGAGAGAGAGAGAGAGGTTGGAGGGTAACTCTCTTGTCAATTCACACAAGTGGATGTGGTAATTGAAACTGCAATTCATATGGTAATGAGGGGGTGTTCTGCACTGAAAAACACCCTGTGGACTGATGAGGAAAATAAAGAATATATCTGTCTCTTCTTATTTCTGTCTCCTTTCTTCCTCTGTCTCCTCTGTTTTCTCTGTGCTCTCAAGTTTTCCAAAACCAATGTAAAACAAAACTTCTGCGCACAGTTTGCATCTGGTATTAATATGCAAGTTTTTATTTAGATAGTGTTGGCTGCAATTACTGTAAGAATGTGTTTTCAGCTCTCAAATATGCAGCAATGATCCAGTTCATTCAATTTCATTATCTTTCCAAAAACAGCAAATTTGCATTAAAGCTCCAATCATTTTATTCACGAGGATGCAAAAATAAAACAATTACATAGTATTGAAACAGAGGATGTTATTTGTTGAACAGAATCCACACAACGCAATTAGCGATAATTATATCAATAAAACAATATGCTTTCATTGTTATTGTATTTTTCTTCAATAATAGCACTTGATATTCTGCATTCATTAAACATATGTGCTTTTTAATGACTATAAGAAAAAGACTAAATTGAAAGTTGAGGCGGTATATAGTTTGTTCCGTCGCTAACAATGAATTACTGTTCTGTATCAGGAGCATTGTTCTCTCCTGAATAAGCTTCAAACATGAGCACAGGAGAGAGTGTTAATTTGGTTGTTATTTCTCTGAGCAGTGCAGCAGAAGTATTAGCAGACCGTAGAGTTATTTGCAGACTGCATGTAGCTGGCTGCATAACGATAGTACCAACACTCCACAGCCTGGATGAGAGGCAAGCACAGGACAGAAAAGGTCCCCAAAGCCTTGCTTCTCTCTTATTGCTTTGAGTGCAGCACACCAGTCAAAGTGATTTACTGTAGATGAGTCTATCTGCATTTTTATCAACTCATGGCATTCTTACTGTATATCAGCGTATAGCTGCAGCCGGGCAATGAGAGGAGGCTGTTGAAAGTGATTTTATTGATTCATTCAAACTCAAACTGGAACTGTTTTTACTGCATTACAGTCATTCACCTTGGTAGGTTTTCCAGGTTTCAGATATTTCTGCATAGGTGGGGCGAATAAAAAGTTGGACATAAATCATGTGCAGCACTGCTCACGGTTTATAAGGTGGAAAAATAAGCTGAGCTGCAATGAATTTCAGATGGCATTGTTTTTGAAACAGGAGCGGATATTTATTGCTCTAAAAAGATACAACTTTTACACAATGGATTTTAGATTTCCTCCACATGAGTCAGTCATAGTCACCGTAACCCTGAATAACCCTAACAAACCGTCAACCCTAACGCCAGCCCTAAACTCCTAACCCTGGCTAATTGTAACCCTGACTAACCCTTATACCATACCCAAATCAGAACCTCAGAAATGAAGGTTTCGCCTCATTAGGACAGGGCTTTGGTCCCCATGAGGCGTACTGGTCCTGACAAGGTCAATATTTATGCTTTACACGTAGAGTACTCACACAAGCAAATGCACACGCACACACACATTACCTCCGCAGCGCCTCTCCTCCTGACTGGAGTGTGCAATGGAGACTTCTGACAAAGGAAACAGGGAAAAGAGGCAGAATTAGGAGCACACATCAGACACCCTCCTGTTAGCATGACTAATTGTATCCTTGAAGGCGAGTGTGAAGATGAAGCTGTACTCAATACAAACCAGATTAATCGTACAAAAAAAAAACGGATCGCGGCTGTGGCACCTGGAGTGGTTTATGAAAAGTATCAGTTCTCATTATAGGAAATGAAGAACAAGACGTTTCTAATGAACCTTAATGGACTACCTTTCCCATTTAAGCGGATGGATGACAAGGTATAAAGGCAATTGGGTAATTTCTACAAAGACCTGTGAATTGTTTTCATGAGTATTATGTCCCAGCTAATTCAGACAAAGGTTATAAATATATATTTCAATCAAATGTTTATTCTGGCCCATGAAGATTGATTCCTGGAGTTTAAAATGAATATACTTTTTTTAAATACAGCGAATACACAAACATTTTCTAGCAGCAGCTGCAGCAGTGTTTGCAGAGATACAATGTGAATAACAAAGCGTCCTCAAAGGTTTTAATGATCTCTATGTAGCACTGATCAATGCTCCTGGGTGTCTCACATTACTGGCTGTCAATAGGGAGATGCCTGTCTAAGCAGGATATCAATACTAATGGTGTGTGTTTGTGTGTGTGTGTGTGTGTGTGTTGGTACAGTGTAGATGAATATTAAGGTTTGAGCAGGACTTTCTAAACTATCAGTCGATTTTTCCAAAAGTTTTCAAGAGGTAATTCTCCAATTGTAGCATGGCAACCATAAAAGATGAAGATGCTTCATCTTTGAGGCAGTAAGAAGATTTATTAATGGGCATTTTAAGAGTTTGAAAGGCGATGTCAATTTTTTACTCTGCGAAAGCCAAATGAAAAGTAAGTAAAGGTGTAAAGTAATTGATACAAAAAGGTTTGTATATAGTGTATTAGTTCTTAAAAAATGCCACGAATTCAGTCCGCCCAACAATCGCAGGGGTGATGCTGATTTAAGAAGGTAATCTGGCCTAATAATACTGTGGTGTGAGATTTACAGAAATATTAATGTTTCAGTGGTCCCCTAAGTTTAAAAAAAACTTTGATTATTGGGTTATGTTGAAATGAAGCCCAATTTACAAGTAGCAAATCCACTGTTAAGTATATTTTCCCACTGATGCTGAAAGCAGGGTAACATCAGCTCTGCTTACTGTGTTTGGGGAAATGTAGTTCTTCAAGACATAGCATAAGCTAGCACATACGTCATTTCCCCTCATGATTCTCTTAATATTAGTACCAATTAGCTCTACACTGCAAAACAAGAACAACAATTACTTTTAACAGTTTCTTCACCGAGATGTACATTTTTAATGTATCATATTTTAATGTATCATCATCTGCGTCTTAGCCTGAGGCATGTAGCTGTAGCCTTCGTCTTTTATCATGTAGCCATGACGGCATATTTAAGACCCTGTTTCAAGGTTCTAAGTTTAATAACTACAGTCACCCTGAAAAAGCTAAAATTAGACATAGCATGAAGCTCTCCCTGCCACAGATTAATTTAATCTGGCAACATTGAAGGTTACTGGCTACAAATGTGAGGTCTGCTGACATTTAGACATTTTTTCTATTGATTTGCACTGTTAACACCACAAGAGCTCCCACACACTGACTATTAAACACTACAGTTAATCAAATTATGCTCACAATTTTGTTATTAAAGTGCAAATCGTACTTGAAACACAGATGCAAAAAAATATAACACTTTGATGGCCAGGACACAGTATATAAAAGCCACGTCCTCCTGCATCATTTGAAAAAAGTAAAAGTGCTGGTGTAAGAGCTTTTTGCATGGCCTGACAAGACACCGAGGCTCATAATGAAACTAATATAGCAGCAGGATTATTGGAATGAGCAGGCAGGCTGCCCTTAAGTGTGGCACCCGGGTTCACGCCCCCGTGTAATCATCTGCCGCACTCAGGAGTCCTTGAGCAAGACACTAATACCGACCATCCCCAAAAGTGCTGTCCTGTCGCTGAACCTGACCTCTGACCTGAGATCAGTCCCTCCCAGGGATCAATAGTGCATTTCATTATTGCAGGATTCTTTGAAATGAAATGAATTACTGCTGTGGGCATACGGTGGTGGGGGGTGCAGAACGTGTGCCTGTTCTAAAACACATGCATAAGTGGCCGAGACTTTACTAAAGAGAAGAAGCCTGTGTGTGCTTACATGGGCAACTACATACTATGTGTGTGTGTGTGTGTGTGTGTGTGTGTGTGTGAGAGAGATCACCTGGTATAAAATTGGAGTCAGGAGGGCATGGCCTTGTTTCACTGTTGTTTCCCGAGCACTGGTTTCCAGTGGGAAACAGGACATCGCAGTGACGCACACGCAGCTGGGCTCCGTTGGAGTCACAGTGGGACCACTCAGACCAGCTGGACCAGCTCTCTGGAAATGGCAATGACAGCATATATCACAGCCTGTCCGGTGTGTGTCCATATGTTCATGTGTGTGTGTACTGCATATGTTTGTGTGCCCTCACCTGCATATTAGTCATGCACGAGGGGCCGATGGAGAGTACAGAAAATAAGCAGTGGACCTGTGATGGATTGGTGGCCGAGTTGGGGCTCTATGCTGCTTAACACTGAAGTGTGTGTGTGTTTGTGTAAATACCTGGACAAGGTTGCGTGTTGCACAGTGCCTCTTCAGTGTGCAGGCCCAGGCAGATGTCCCCTCCATAAGCCGGCGGGGGGTTGCTGCAGGTTCGCGTCCGCATGTAGTGTCCCCCTCCACACGTCACGGAGCACTTGGACCATGAAGACCAGCACGACCAGCTGCCATCCACTAAAACCAGAACATCAAGAGTTATATTGTTTATTCTACTTAAGTAAGAAATGTAAGACTGCAGAAAAAGTTCCATGATCAGACGTTATTTCAACCTATTTTAACTATGGATGCATGGCAGGAAAATATATGGTAATTTAAATATGTGTGCATGTGTGTGTGCATTAATGAAAATAAATGAGGCATCCCAAGCATCCTCCCTCCATGTTTTGCAAAGTGGCAAAGATGAGAATGACAGGTGAGAATTCATGACAATATCAGCACACACACACACACACACACACACACACACACACACAAAACATATAAATACATGACTAAAAGGAGAAAGGGGAGGAATAAAAAGAGAGGGGAAAAGAGAGCAATAAAATGGTGGCAATCTATGTCCATGAATCACAACAGAGGTAAATATCCTCCACCAATCATCTGAATAAAACCTCACTTCATTGTGGCAGAGAGAAATTTCCTTTTCGGAACCACTTGAGAATTGCTTTTAAAGACCTGAGGATGGCTAGCAGTGGCGTGCAGGTAATTGAAGTTGCCGATGCTCTTTGTCATCTCAGTGTAATTTCTCTATCACAAAGCGACACATAAGTCGATACCTGGCCCTCAATGACGGATCGTCTCATCTCAGGCACAGATGCAAGAAAAACACAGATTCATTTGTTTCCAAACCAGATGGATGGCGGGCACAACACCTTTTTCTCTCATTCTCCTTCACAGTATGCTAATGCATTCAAAAAAGCACAGGATTAGCCATAGGAGGATTACAATTGGTCTACTGGCTCAGCCTGCATGCCACAAAATAATATCTCACATTCAGAGGGGTGCTAATTGAGTATGTATTAGTATTCATTGCTACTCAGGCTGGGTTAAGTCAGTTCCTTTGGGGGACAGGAGTACAGAGTTGTTCATCAATGTACTGTAGCTTTAGTATTATTACAGCCTACGTCCCAGTATGGGTGCACTACTTGTATTAGCATAGTGATGCGGCGCAGGAAAATCAAAGTGCATTTGCTCAACATTTTAAGAGGAGCCCTTGTGGCGACCATACAGTCAGAGCGCTGCTGGATAAAGCAAATCTGATGCTCTCAGATCCATCCCAAGTCTTCATTTGAGCTCACAGCTGATAACAGCTTACCCTATTAGTGGCCGCGCTCAAGCTGCTGGCGAGCGGAACGCTGTGAACTTTTACTGAATGAATTAACAGGCTGTAAAAATAGTATTGATGATCGCTCAGTCTGTTTCTTTCGCTTGCTCACAGCATGGCACCGTTTATAAAGACGGATCACGGGGGGGGGTTGGGTTGCTGAAGATGACGCAAAGATCCAGGCTTTAAGAAGGATACCTGAGCCCTTCTCCAGGGGGCTTGATTAATAATCAACTGAGGTAACGTCCTGCTTGTCTGCTCTGCACCCATGCTGGATACCAGGTTTACTTTATGCTAAACTAAGCACTGGATTTCCATTTAGACAGCTTACTTCCCTTGTCAGACAGAGTATTCTTTTAATTAGAAAAGGTTCCTCTTGCTGTCTTCCACTAGAGCTGTGTTAAAATTGCATTGTCTCAGGGCTTTCCACAACAGAATAAGGCCTCCCATAGCTGGCAGCATAATTACCTAGCAATGTAATTACATGCTGAAGCACCACAGGGATTTTCTCTTTGATTCCTGGTGTGAATTTGGGTTTTCGTCACACCTCTTATCTGCAGCTGATTTCTTTTGTTATTCCTGATGATGTGGTGGATTATTTTGCCACTGAAATTCTTTATCTATTAATCAAGGAAAACATAGCTTGAGTTTGGTTCAGAGCGGTGGGTAGAGAGCAGGTGGAGTAATTGACTCCTGGTCTTATCTTGCAGAGAATAAGTGTCCTGCATTCTGTATAGCTGCTTTCAGAAATGCCCTTAACTATAGATAATCTCCTAAAATTATCCAGGGGGCTGTATGTGAGAAGGCATTGTCTGACTCAGAGGCTCCGGACATTCTGCTGGGTTTTATCCAACAGATAATGTCTGATTGGGCCCATGTGTGAATACAGCAGGAGATTTTCTGAATGATTTCAACACGCAATGGATGCAAAACTGAAAAAGAAAAGAAGATTTTTATGTTGCTGTGACCGCGTCTCACCAGAGGATCTCCTGCTGCGTTCTTTGATTGTGAAAGGCAAACTTCAGACAAAAGTCAATACCCTATTGTGTGGATCTAAAACATCTTTAGTCTGAGTTTCTTACCTGGACAGGGGGTGATGTTACACTCCTGATACTCCTGTGCCGGACCAAGGCAGGTCTGACCTCCATACTTGGGCTCTGGGCTGCTGCAGGTCCTCTTCCGGCTGCGGATCCCCCGGCTGCAGTCCCGACTGCACTGGGACCAGGAACCCCATGATGACCAGCCGCCGTTCACTGTGTGGCCTGACATCCTCCCGAGACGGAGCACCTCACCTATTAGGTAAAGACAACAGGTACCACAGCACATTATCTCCTGTGAATAGTATCTCAACGTTATAATTACATTTCCTGTTGTTTTCTGTAGGAACATGGATGATACTTGTCTTTGTTTCCAGACATCACTGTGTGCATTTGTTTGACAGAGAATCAATAACAGCTATTGGTGAGGGCGAATGCCTGCAGCTGGGAGATGCTTCGAAAAGCTTCAACTTGATTTGTGCTGAAAGACCAAGAACAGTGGCTGTATCTTAGATAGATAGATGGATGGATGGATGGATGGATAGATTCATAGATGGATGGCTGGATGGATAGATAGATAGATAGATAGATATATCTGTACTCCATAGATGATACATGATAGATGGATAGATGAATAGATGAATGGATGGATGGATTCAGTTGAGTGTCCTGTCAACACGCTCGCTCATCAAACAACATCATCTGACTAATCTGTGTACTCTCATCTGGAATGAGTTGAGCAGAGGATTCCTAATGAAATATGAAACCGTAATTTCTATTAAACTCTAATTACTGCGTGCATTAATCAGCAGTGTGGAAATTTGCCTCGTGGTGAGAAGACAGAGAGATGAACAAAGAGACAGAGAAAAAGAGATAGAGAGAGAGAGAGAAAGCCCATGGCCCTTTTTGAATGAAAAGCATGAGCTCGTCTCTTTGGGAGAATAATAATCAAACCCAGTGAAATGATAGTCACCGTCCAGGCACTTTTCTGATGCTTCACTCATTCAACACACTGGGCTGTTATCTAGCTTTTCAGATAATAATGCAAGACTTTTATGTCCGTGCAGTTTCTGCTTTGCGTCATTCTCTTCCCACACTCGTTCTTCCCGTTGCTTTGGAGGGAGAGAGGGGAGAGAATTGTGTTGTTGAATGTTGTTGAAACGGACAGCGGAGGCACATCTGGACAGCTGAGGCTTCACCTCTCAACCATACTGCAGTGAACTTTCTCTTTTGTCTGATTTTCCATTTAATCTCTCATGTATATGTATATAGAAGTTTACAGATTAGTTTATATTTTATATTTTTATGAAGCACTTTGTGATTCTGCTCTGTTAAAGGTGCTGCACTTACCTTTCTAACTTATAGTCATAATAATTCATTTTCCCTCTCTGCATCCATCTCCTACTTTCTTTCTTTCTTCCTTTCACATTAACATTCTCTTGATTTTTGTCTTGTTCTGTCTCTTCCCGTCCTCCAACCTGGCCTTGTTGTTTTGTCAGCTCGCTCTTTTCACTGACAGTTATCGTGACGCGGCTGCTTTGTATTCTCAGGGTGAGGACAGTGTGTTTACCTGACACAAATCCTCGACCTGTTCATAACCATGGGCCGACCTTGGCAGTGCGGGGGCCGACTTGCAGCGGCATACAACCTGGCTCGAGAGCTGACAGGCCCGCCGAGGCCCCCGCTCTTTATCGATTCTGAGTAGTCAGTGGCACGGACAGCCCCGCCTGCAGCTGTGACCCGTGCTCTTTATCAATCTATCTGTAGCCCAAGAGACTGCACTCCTGCTCTGAAGGCAATGGAGCACTTCCTAATCATGCTTCTCATACATGCACACTTAAACACACATGATAAGAACCTCACACGGACACTCACAAACACTCAAACATCAATGCAAACCCCAATACAGGGATATACAAAGGCAAACATCTACACATCATTGTGCTAATTCCCACAATACTCACACCCGGCTTTGCTCTCTTTGCTTGCACAAGCTTTGGCCTGAGACTGCTTTAATACACTGTGGGTATTGTTCATTCTACTTCGCAGGGGCTGCCATCCCATCACCAAAACAAACAGCGTGGTACCCTCCCTCTTAAATAGGTAGCGACTGAATCTATCGATCCGCACACTGCCAGGGAGAATTAATCCTCTGTCTCCTGACGAGCTGGGCTGAGCCAAAACACAGAGGGGCAAAGCGCGACATCCCCACTGCAAAAGAAACTAGGACGAGAAAAAAAAGTTTCCCTCCCTCCCTCCCCGTGCTCAACCTCACACCCTGCTCAAAGGCAAAACACACTGTAAACAAACTTGTGAACTTTTGCGTGTGTGTGCAGGAGAGAGAGCGAATACAGAAAAAGACGAATCGGGACTCATAGCCACGCAATGCTGTGCAATCTAGTGGGGTGTGTACTCAAAGTGAAAGACGTGAGAACAGAGGAGAGAGATAGATGCAGAGATGGTGATAAGATGGTATCTGCAAACCGGAGCGATAACTCCGCTGTAAGAAGTACAGATGTGTTTACGACCCTGGGTTGTATTTGTTTTTTATCATGGCTGATGTCTCTCCCCCCGCATCAGTGTCAGTATATATGTGTATGTGATGATGATGGACAATATATAGTGATGACAGTATATAACCCAAAAATTAAGCCAGAGAGTACCATCAAATCCTATCTCCTCCATGTTAGCGGACGGGACCAAACAGAAAATGTTTAATTTAAGTAGTTCTTATCCCAATGACGTTCGTTCAGATGTTCATTTCTCCAGAAAGTTTGGTTGTAATTACTTATTTGATGACGTAAAAACAGGATGACGTGAAATGACTGATCGCTGAGACTGACACAAGACACACAGAATCTGGCTCCAAATGTGTAAGATGTATCGTATCTGAGATATTTTGGCTTCATTCCTGAACAGTGCGAGGAGCCCTATGACTGGCCCATTTGAAGGGATTGCTGCCTCTGGATTGGATCAATGGGTACATCAGTCGTTTTCATCTTCACTTGACAGCAACTTGCATCTCCATTACCTCTCCCCACGTCAGCCACCACAGAAGACAGACAAACCAGACTGATGCAGAAAAGCTGATCTGATCTTGATAGTTATGTCTTCCTAGGCATACGTCCCTTACTGCAAAGAAAGAGGAGATAAAAGCGTTCGTCTGGATTTTTTTTTGTTGAGCCGGGTGACCACGCTGGTGTTCTCACTGGCACTTCAACACCCTCCCAGTCCAAGCTGGCATGACAGAACAGAGCTCAAGATACGGAGATGTGGAAAAATCGCTAACCCTCAGCCGTGAAGGGAGACACACTGTCATGTGTGAAAAAAGATTTATCGACACAAGATTGAACGCTGGACCACACCGAGAGAAAAAAGAAATGGAGAAGTGCTTTTGCCAGCTTGTCCTAGATTCTCAACGACACATTCGCTCCCCATTACTCTTCGACCCTCTTCCTCCTCATTTACTTTCTTCCCTGTGGAGGAAACTATTTCTTTGAATGTTCACTGTTCATTTATGTATCTAAAAATGTGTGGCTGTTTTTGCATACTTTATGTCATGCCTTATAAAACCACACAGCAGCTGTAGGTACTTGCAGCAGTATTCTCTGAGCTGCACAGAGATCTGCCAAGCAATGCTCAACTCAGAGACCCTCTAGGGGGATGTACTCTGCAAGAGTCAACTAAAAGTTTTGTAAATTTTCAATTAAAATCCCAAACTTGAAGAACGTCACTGCTCAGTGCTCGTACATGTACAGAAACAAAAGTGCACAAACAGTCAAGGATATACATGCAAACCTATACCTACACTTTCATACTGTTATTGGAATTAAGAGGTTTTATTCACTGTCTCTCTGCAATGTCAGGACTAAGAATTCAAGGTCAGAAACCATAATCTCTGACCTTCTGCAAGAATGAGCTATATGCATTGACTCTGTGACTGAGGCCCACATGCACTCTTCTGCAGACATTTTTTAAGTAAACACGAGCCGCATTTACAAAACTGACTACAAATGCTCAAACAGAATATCGGGCCAGTAAGTGGCGATAAAGTGTACGTCAATGTTCTGTCAATTACCAGAGAAGAACTTATTGAATGAGCTTGTTGCTGTTCTGGCAGAAGCTTATTCTACAAAGTAAGCTATGACCTTATCGGTTCCCAAACGCTCTTTTACATGCATACACGGATACACAGTAACCAGAGATTCAATGGTTGTAATTGTTTGTGTTTGAGTTCATGTTTGACAATATAACGCATGATGAAGCAGGGTTGAAAATTGTCCCTGCTGCTACAAACCACTCCAATAACACAACTCGTAGGTGACGTGACCAGGATGTGAAAGCACCTGCATGCTTGTGAATGACCTTCCACATGCATGTTCTTTGCCAGTTCATTTTCACACTGTGTTGAAAATTGAGTGAAAGCAGCAGCTGGTGGGAAGGTGGAATATCAGTTTATAAGTTAATAGTGTGCTTTAGAAAAATTGTTGGCAACAATGTGAATTAGCTACAGATTAATGGTAACAGGTTTAAATAAGTAAATGACTGGTGATCTTTTTTTTTTTTTTGTTCCAATGCAAAATTCCGCCAGTAAGAACTGACCGATGTTGATCTTGACCGTGGTTCACGTGCACCCTCTTGTGACCAGCTTTGTGTTTGTGGACAAAGCAGAAAAAGGAAATATATAAATAAATGAACAAGCTTCTCTCCATCTATCCTTCTTGCCAATACAATTACAGGTAACACAAAATACCAGATGGCGCTGCTGGCTGTGGTCAGCTTTAGGTGCATATTTGTCATAAGTGCAGGTGCTATCAAAAGAATGACTCAACTGCAATGACCCTGAAATTGCCACAAACAATAAAAACAGGATTGATTTTTTTTTCTGCCAAAGGAAACTTGCTTCCATCAATAAAACAGCCTTTTTCTGTGCGCTTGGTAAAAACCACAGCACAGCTCTCTGAAAAGACACAGCATCCAGTCGACCTCAGAGGAAAGACAACCAGGGTTGGAAAGAAGACAGGCAAAGACAGCTCATGATGACCTTAGCACATCACTGAATCCTGACTTGTGAGAACATAAACTTTCCATGAGTGTGGCTAATCTTTATTGTTAAAACCTGATCAGGAGATGCCATCAAAACCTTCTGCTATAATATTTTTCAAGAGCTCAGTGCCAGGATTTCTTGCAGGAACTATTGAGCAAAGAGTGACTTTGTGCCAACAACATTTTTTTTCTTTTCTGACAGGCAGTGT